GATTACAAAATGGATGTTTGGCACAGAGTTGCTTTTAAAAGTGCATTTTCCAATTCCTGACAATGCACAAAAAAATGTAGTGGAGACTAAGGGCAAGACAAAAAAATACAGAGAAAGTAGCACAAGGGAAGTGATGCCACACACTCATGTCATTATCACCCAACTAGGAGGCATGCAGTTAGATATTCTAGGATGTCCCATCATAACACAATAATATAGTTGTAAATAAGTTTATTAATAAACTATTTCCACATTCATGTTCATAAAAGTAGTGCTTTGTAAATCTAATTACAACCAATATTTTCAACAAATTATGTGTAACACAAGTGTTCTCTGTGACGTTTTTAACAGTAAAAATAGTAGCAATAATCATGCCATGTATGAAAATCTGATTATTCCACTTACTGGGCTTATTTATATGACTGCTAACTCTTAAAACCACCTCAAAATTGAGATATCTTACTGGTATTTCTTCCAGATAAGAAACTGATGTCAAATGTGAAGTAACTTGCTCAAGCTTACATCCATAGACGAGATGGTGCTTTTATCACTGAGTATCACCTCCTCATCTTTAGTTTTCTCTCTGGGAGTGCCTTCCCCCTCGTCAGCACCGTGTATTAATCAAACTACTATTTTCCAGGCACTGTTCTAAGCCCTGCAGATCCCGAGAGAAGTCCGATAGATAGGTTTCACCCTTCAGGAACTCAGCCTAGTAAGGGCAGATAGGAAGCAATGCTGTGACCACAGCTATGTCTAGGGGGTTCGGAGAGCAGGAGGGGCACCTCACAGAGGAGGGGGGGGCGAAGGAAGGAGGCGGGCAATGAGCAGGTGAGTCACCTGCCTCTCCAGGAGCAGATGAGTTGATTGAATCTAACAACTAAGAATTAAGCAAATGAGGGAGGGGAGAAGGCATTCCAGGAAGAGGCCACTGCAAGAATAAAGGGGAGAAGGTAGCACAGGAGGTACAGGTATCTCAGAGTGGCTAGATAAGAATGTGATTGAATGCAGGAGACAGAGCTTCCTCAGCCACTTACATTCACAATTACGGACCAGAACACCCCCATTCCCTGACAGCTTCTATTCTACAGCCCCCCAACCCCCTCCCCATCGGCATTGCCACAATTTTTCACTGACAATTCTGAGCAACCATAACTGTAACCCCTTTGACAGGCCCTCTCATTGCGGGAGAGCTTCTAATTCCTCCCAGGAAGTATACACACCAGGCACACTTAAGCCAGCCACCTTCCTTCAAACTGGGTCATGTTCAGACACATAGAAGCCTTCCTAGACACCAGAAACCTGAGCTTCCTCACAAGTGTTACCCACACCTGTTGCAGGTGTATCCTGACTAAAGGGCCCCATGTCCTGGGAGGACTTAGTGCTAATTCTTTGTTCTGAGAAACCCTGCTTGTCTCGATCGCCCCGACACCCTCCTCCCTCAGGCCTGCTGAGCATACTACTGAGAAAAAAATCAGACAACAGTGCAGATTGGTGCTGTTGGACAGTCCTGATCACTACCTTCACTGGGCCTGCAGCAAGGCTCAACAGAGCAACAGGAAGAGACATGATCACAACTTAAATAAGAGTTTTTTAAATTAAAGGTGTTCCTGTTAGGGGCCGGCCGAGTGGCTCAGTTGGTTACAAGTTTGCTTAAGTGCACGAGCTCTGAGCAACAGGGTCGCTGGTTCGATTCCCACATGGGCCAGTGAGCTTCGCCCGAGCTGAGCTGCTGCTGAGCTGCCAACAGGTGGCAGGATGGCTCAGCTGGTGAGAGCACATGCTCTTAACAACACGACTGCCTGCTGGATGGTGGGCTACGCCCACCTGTGCGCAGCTAGGACTGAACTCAGCACCTTGAACTGAGCTGCCGCCCAGATGGCTCAGTGGATAGAGCGTGTGCTCGTAACAACAAGGCTGCTGGTTTGACTCATGCATGGGATGGTGGCTACGCCCACCCGCAACTGAGACTGAACTTGGCACCTTGAGTCGGGCTGCCGCCTGGATGGTTCAGTGGATAGAGTGTGCGCTCTTAACAGCAAGGTTGCCAGTTTGACTCGCATGGAAAAAAAAAAAAAGTGATCCTGTTACATCGCAGCTTGATTCATTAGGTCCTGGGGTGATACTTGAGATGATTTCTAACAAGCTTCCAAGTAAGGTTGGTGGGCTACATTCTGAGTGGTAGCAAAGCCCTAAAGCACAAAAACTCCAAACCAACCTCTCTAGAGCTGAACTGGAAGACAGAAGCTCATGTAGATATTCATGAGACGTTTTGATTCATATACTGTCTCTTGTAACTGCTTTTGGACACCTGGGTGAGGTTTGAGCAGACACACAGTGATTGGCCCAAGTTTCCAACATCTAAGAGTTCCTGTTACAACAGTAACAGCAGAAATATGGCTATCATCTTTAATGAGTGAAATCCTAACAAATCTCTTGAGGTGAGGAAGGACGAAGTGCTTAATTTCTCTGCCTTTCAAGGTAAGGAATCAATGGACATTGTTTAAGGTAATAAATGGAAGTGTAAATACAATTTAAATTATAGCGACCACTAGAAGACGAACATAAAACAAGTAATTGCAAGTGCAGTGTGGATCAGAGAGGCCATGTTGGGTGTCCTGGGATATATATAGCCAGGTGAGTCCTTCTGGTCTAAGGAGTCAACACCCCAAGCTGGTAGGTACCCCTTACATTTACAAACACAGTGCCGGGGATTAAGTTGAACCTTTTGACATTGCCAGCATGTAGCAGTTTTTGACTTCGAAAAACAGCAATTTCAGAGGCTTCAACGAACTAATTCGCTGTTACAGCATTTAATGTTCTTATAATACTTCACAGAACCTTTTCTTTTTTTCTTGCTTACTATTATATATACAGTGGTAAACACACTTCTTGGGACATACTAGATATTCAACCAAAAAATATTTGCTTAAGTAACAAAAGAGGTCCCAAGACTTGAGAAGGTAAATTGTATGAAAATGGCATTTAAGAAAGCCCCAGGAAAAAACGTCTGCTCTAGCATGTGAACTAAGAATTTAGCTTCGAACTACCATTAAACATTCTGGTAGTTCCATTACGTATATAATTGAATTGTGCTCTGTGGCAGAAATATTTTCTTCCATGTTTACCAAAACTTAATTGTATCTTTAACATTTAATGACTAGTAACACAGGCTTAAAAAATTAGTTTTCTGCTAACTGCTGCCCAACAATTGTCATTTATTGCTCTAAATTATTCTCTTGTTCCTGTATGCACACTGAGTAAACATTCAAAGCACTTTCCTCAAGATTGCCCTTCTACAAATTCCTGAATAACTCCTTTTGAAATAAGAGATTCATCTGATGCCAGAAAATGGGTGAGTGGTAAATCTTTGAAAGTGCCTATTAACCAGGGGTGTACATTAGAATCAACTATTGCGTTTACCCTACAAAGGCACAAATATGTTTACTACACCATTGTTTATAATAGTAAACAGTGATTAAGTAAACATATATCATGGGGCTAGTTAAATTAAGGTGCTGATACTACAACACAACCATTAAACATTAAAATAATGGTAGCATATACTATGCTTTATACAACCAGGCACTATTCTCTAAAGGCTTTAAATATGTTAATTTTAATCCTACCTCATACCACTAGCCCCATTTTACAGGTGGGAAAACCAGGAAGCTAATAAATAGTGGAGTTGGGACTCAACCCAGACAGTCAGGCAGAATTCATGCTTGTAACCTCTATGGTACAGGGAAATAATTTTACTGGTAAGGACAAAAGCACCTGATGATTTCACTGAAAAGGTGAGTTTCTGAAACCAATGAATATTACAATCTCACTGACGTATTTTTTAAAGTATGTATTAAAAATGTTTGGAAGGACACATACCAAAGTGCTAATAGTGGATACCACTGAGGAGGAATTGGTTGGGAGTTTGGAGATGGGAGTTCACCATTTTTCAATTTCTTTATGAGCATGCACTTTGTAACATACAGTATGCCAATTACACAACCCCTTCCTTCCCCACCCGTTATCTAGGGCATACAAACAAGCACTGAAAAACGCACACATACCTAATACCATCACATTAGCCAGTAGGTTAAGTTTAGTTAACTTTAGTTGTTAAAGAGTTGTAACGGACTCTAGATTAATCAACATTGTTTAAAAAGTAAAATTAATTACTTACCTCTAATTTAGTCTACCATAAGACTTTATTAACTTCAACACCGTATTTGTCGAACTTCAAACTTTTTATTTCCATACACTAAAATATCTCAACCACTTCACTGGAAATCTTTAAAAACATATTACACAGCTACATTTTTATGTCATATTAAACTGTTTGAATTATTTGATGACTCTAGGCCTTCATTATGATAGCCATGCTAAATATGCGCCTCTCCATTTCTGCTAGTTTTAGCTATTCCTTGTCCTTTACTGAGGGATACTGCTCCGTAGGTATTCAAGTTCGAAAGTCAGGTAATTAACCTGAGTAATCGAGTAGTATATATAAACTAAGTCAATAAAAGCTTATGTGAAAAAGTACCCGACAATGTGTAGATTTTTCAAAACCTCCTAATTTGAACACGTGAGATTCTGGAAGCTGATGTTTTCAACTGTCTTCTCTCAGACTGAGTTCAATGTGACTGGGTTTTTAATTCAAACATTTTACTATTTGAGGTATCTATCTATTCAGTGCTTCAATTCCTCCACAGTGGTCCTGCCCAGTAGCTCTCCAACCTATGCTTTTGATATTCCCGGTAGTGCAGTATCTCTTAAAGCTGCCCATTCTGACATTGGATTAGTATAACATACTAAGTTTGTTGTTGTTGTTGTTTTTAAATAGAATTGTGGTATCCTTTTCTGTGTAGACCCACTTGTCCTAATTCTTAAAATGTGAATTGTTTGCACAATTGATCATACAAACCCAACAACCAAGAAACATTAATAATTGTCTTCTGTACTTTACTAAACACTTTGTGTTTAATATATTTTAAATTATAAAGAAATTACAAGGAACTCCTAAAAAATTTAATACAAAAATATTACAAGTTAGGACAAATAGCATTGAATATGACATTTGAGAAGAAACATGCAGATAAAGTAGCATAGGGTTAACATTTCATTGTTGACAGAGCACTTTGGTACAGCAGAGAGAAAGCACCATAAAACTACTGTCCATAGTGTCTTTTCCTCCACTGCATTTTGCAAATGAATATACTGAGGAAACAGTGAACTTTAATCTGATGTTCTATGTATTATCATAGGTAAGATATCTGATCTACTGTAAAGTATAAAAGCTATGAAATTAAAAATAACCCCTTCTATGATTACTCGAATTGATTTCAGCTTTACCTCAAGCTTTATGGATTATAATCCTTAGTAGACCGATACTTTTTGAACAAGTGTAAAATGCAGAATATTATTATAACAATCTATGCCATGCAATAAAAGTTAACCCTCTGAAAATCAAAGCCTGTCAAAAAGTTCTAGCAACTGCAGTAGCTTATCATTTAATAAAACATGACAAGGCTATGCCTGTATTAGTTTCTGCTTAAGGAAATGGAAGGGAAAGGTAAAAGGCTTGGAGAATACAAGCTTTTACAAAACAAAACAAATCAAAACAAAACAACTATGATCAATGATTCTTTCAAAAAGTCTCTAAGTAACTCTACAGGAGCTGGGAGTAATTAAAACTGGAAGGGGCCTACTATCTTTCCTAATAGATTATAAGGTTCATTAGCAACATAAGCTACTAGCCAAGGAAGAAAATTATTACATCATAGTAAGTTTATATGCAGAAAACTGTGTCATTAAAGAAGTTGAGCATCCTGCCCTAAAAATCTTCAACATATTGTTTTGTGCTCAACTGCATGCTAAGCAAATGAATCTGAGGTCTCTTTCAGTTTGAATTTGTGAAACAATGTCCTCTAAATACAATATTGATTTTTCAAAATAATTCAAAAGTAATTCCTATTCCTTAGCTGACTAAATGCTCTATTATTCTTTAATAAAAATAGTAAATAATCCCTTCATTTAAAAAATCTTATCTCCTCCGAGAAGTAATAAAATAGTAAAATTTGTAATTTTATCTATGGGTTTACTTTAATGTACATATCTTGGCAAACTGTATTTATGAAAACCGTCCTTTAGATTCTGATGGCAGTTGTTATAATTGGTAACACCAGTATGGGAGAGAACAGGCATGTTATATGTTATGAAAACTAACTTAGAGCAAAAAAGTTTATTCTACAATAGAACACTGGAGAAGTAAATGCAATTAAAATGTAAACAAGAAATTGTAAACAAGAAATAGCATCCCTCTCTCTTTACTTGACTAAATAGTCTATACAAACTACATAGATTATCAAAGGTTTTATATATGTACACAGCCAACATAATATCAAAATATATTTTATTCTGGACCTCTTTCAGATCTGATTCAAATTACAGTTGTCAAAGCAATACAATGCAAAGGGAAACTGCAACAACAACAACAACAAAAAAATGTGCCTAGAAAGGATAAAAGGGTCATTGGGGACAAATCATTGTGATGTGGAACCAAAAGACATCATAAGTGTAATTAACATGGTCCAGGACAGCATAGAACATCTATAATCAGTCTTCCTTACACAATAATCATGAAAACTGAACAATAAAGTTCTTTAACATGTACAAAAAACTGTCATGGGCTGGTTTACACTTTTACAACAGTTTTAAAGTTAACTGGATAACTAAAGAAATGATGCAGACATTTTAATCCAGTGCTATAGGTAGGCTCACAGAATTAGACCCAAAGGATTTGTAAAAATCAAAATTAGAACATTATAGATAAATGTCAAAGTCAGGAAAGAAGAAAATTACTTCTGTATTTGGGGATTACAGAGCTACAAAATGCAGTCTGTTTTTGTTTTTAACGAGATGGATAAGTACATTAGACTAGATACAACATGCAGAATGTTTTCTTTAACTTATCCAGAAACTCCAAAGAAAACATCATGAAACAGCTTACGGGGGGGAGGGGGGGAAGCCTTATTCACCCTGCTTCAACACTGTCAACGTAAAGGCAGAAATAAAGAATGCTATTAATACTTCAGAACTACTGGTATAAGACATCAAATTCCTAAATCAGTGTATTAAAAAAGTGAACACTTCCTCTTTTTTCTCTCTCTCTCCTACATTAACTAGAATCATGTTAAAAACAAACAAACAACTGATATTGAATGTGACACTTCAGAGCTACTACCAGAAGGAGTAATTCATAAGTTCCCTACCCTCCTTCCATCCCTGCTGATTCAAAAGGGGAAAAAAAAAACAAAAAACCCACAAACCAACCAGGGTCTCTTGTAGATTTGCTGCTATTCCCCCAAATGTTGGCATTTGCTGCCATGCCACAATGTTGGTCCACTGAAATAGGGTTTCTGTGGGGACTGTCAACAGTAATTCATCCAATGCAAGGACTATCCTTTGCATGTGAGAAAAAGCGTGGGGTCTATAGAAATGTACAATGTGCTGAAGAAAACGAAAACTGTCTTGAGTAAATAGCTCTGTATTTGAAATTTATTTTTCTGCTCCTCTGCTTACATAAGGATGGTCATTTGTGATTCCTTTAAATAGCAAAAATGCATACTCCTCCTCAGGCCTCTACTCAATAATAGTTTACATTACTCGTAACAAAATCATTCTACATAAACAGCTCCTTAAAAATAGTACTCTATCATTAAATCTAATTTGACAGAAAGAAGTTTAAGGAAAAAAGGAGTGCTTTATAAGTGAAAATGTACAAATCTTTGGCCTTTCTCTTGACATTTTTATATGTCGAAAAGCAAAAAACCTTCATGTAATTCAACCTAATGATTACTTTTTGCACCATAATTTGTTTTTTACACCACAAAAGGAGGCACTTTCAGTTATCTGTAAAAGGTGTTTAATCCTAAAACATACTTACCTAGAGAATAATTAATTAAAACAGAATTCAATACACTCTAAGATCTATTAGGAAATATAGGTTACCACTTCTAAAAGTCATTTGAAAGCCAATGATGGTGCCTGATCAACGATAAGATATGGGGATTGGAACACATATAAGAACTTACGGGATTTCCTACATGGAGAAGAAAAAAGATATTCCTTTATGATGTTTAAGAGTGACAGCTGCTCTTTATTCTATTTTAATTGATGAGTATTCTAGTCCTTCAAGTTTTCCCTCCTATTTTTCTTTATGATAAGTTTCTTACAGTAGCCTATACAACAATGATATACAATGAATACCACAGAAAATCACTGGGTGATCTTCAGGAATAAGTTCTTAGGAAAAAAAGTAGAAGGAAAAATGAACAAGAATCTCAAATATAGAACTTTACAGGCTGTGAAAATTGGTCTCTTACAGTCATGTTATGCTTACATTAGAGGCAATCTGATTTTTGTCTACTGGAGCAGCATCGTGGCACATCAGCAGGCAATGATGATGTTGAGAACAGCAGCAAAAATAAACAATTGTATGCTCATGAAGAACCCAAGCCTACAAAATGGATACCTTCCAGATAAAGTTTATACTTAAAAGACCCAAGACATCAGGATAATAAAGCTCTGTATTTATAATCTTTTATATGTCCTATTGTGGCTATTATGCTTAAGTAAAATAGCTACTAAAAGATTTTTTTTTAAAAAAGAAAAAAAAAAACAGAAAAGCTGACAATACCATAAAAACGTAGCTGTCTATTTTGGCAGCTATATTGCAGAACTTATTGACTATCTTTTAATCAGCTGGGAAAAAAAGTCAATAACTGTATGCAAATGAATAAATTGTCCATATCAAAATACAAAAGTACTATCAATAATCACCTCTGACTTTCAGATTTAAATTCAGTGCAATTGACAAATGCATCGCTAAAGGAAAATGCAGCTTAAACATACTCAAAACATTTGTGTCTATTCCTGGGAGCACATTTAAAAATTATTGCACAGATTTTTTTATTTTTATTTATTTTTTTAAAACAACAACAGAGGTCAACCACAGATGTGGACCTCCAGCAATAAAAGCAGGATTTCAAGTGCCAGATACTCAGCATATTAGGTTTCCTACATAAGTCACAGGGTAATAGTTCTAAATATCTATAATATGATCCAAAACCCTAAAAACAGCTGGCACAAAACCATCATGAATGACTGCCTTTCTGGATGTAAATTTTAAAAATATTATTACAGTATCATAGTGCCCACTAACAACAACTGGGGTACATATAACAATGTATTATGGAATTAAGTATATTAATTTTCTTTACCAATAGCAAATGCTATCCTACCTTAGTAAAACCAAGACTTGCTTCAATCAATGCTGCTTTGTAAAAATAGCAAAACAACAAATGCTGAAAATCAAAGCTGCATTACTTGGGTTAAATCCGTTTCTACTTAAAACACAGGTTAAAATTTTAGTAATAAAGGCCTCAAAATAATTAGTGACAGAAATAGTGTTATAAATTTGCTGTTGGATATAATAAGTGATTCCTTAACTGAAATCTTGGAAATATAAATTTGACAACTATTCTCTTCAAAATTGACACTTCTGATTCTTACCTTAATCATGACAAACCTGTTAATCACACATATAAACACAGACCCATGCTATCATTTGTAAATTCTGTAAGTTTTAGTTTTTAGTTGCATGAGCACAAGAGGAGGTTTGATCTGATACCTAGATAAGAAAATACTTGATATTATGAACAGAGTAAAAGACATGATATAGTAGTGATTATTAGAAAAAAAAATAGCAGCTTAAATCTATCAATATTTGAAAAAAAATGTAGTCACAAGTACCACAAATGCAGAATCAAAGCAGCAGGGAGGTTAGTGCAATTATACTTAAAAAAAAAAATAAATCGGAATCACTGCTATTTAAAAATACCTTGAAGCAAGTCTTTTGTTTTAAAGATTGTTTTTAAACTAAGGTAGCTAACATTTTGCCATGTAATGGCAGTGTTATATGCCGTTATCTTGCTTTGTATAAAGAAAAATAACATGAGAGATTTTTAATACTGGAGTTTGGTTACATTACATATTTAAGCTTCTACACAGAATGATGGACACTTTGAGAAGCTAATCCTTATCCAGAAACAGTTTAATCTCTTAAAAAACAAAGCAAAACAAATAAACAAACAACAAAAAAACCCAAATCTACTTTGCTCCTTTTAACAATAGTGCACATTTTAACCATAATTTAGTTATGGCTACAAAACATCAGAAGATTTTATTTTTATGTATCTTCTCTATGGTATTTAAAAAAAATTTTGTGCCCTTCTAGTCTTTAATTGGCAGAAATATGTCCCAAAAAAGAAACTACCGCATTTAAGCCACATCACCAAAAAACAAACAAAAAAATGAAACAAACAAAAAAAACCAGAGCATAATACCCTTTTACTGATGTGTCTTACAGATTGACGTGACCCAAGTCATATATTTTCATTTAATTTCCAATTTCCCCTTCCACAACATGCACCAATTGATATATGCTCTGGGAGCCATAAAATGTACCAAACATTTATCTTTTCAAAAGAATGCATTAAAATATTTTTAAGATTTTTTTTTGTTTAAAGGTGAAAAAAATATAAACAAGAAACTGATTCACTCCCTTACTTCATGCATCCATAAACTAAACCAAAAACAAAGTTTAAAAGCAAGAACAAACTACTGCTGCAAGTTTTTTTTTAAGTCCATTTTCTCTGTACATACAAACTGCTCGACTACTGAAGGGAAAAAAAGAATATAATCCATGGTGTCTGCTGATTCAAAGGGGAGAAACAAGGCTGTCATAGTATCCAAAACTGGTACATGTATGGGCTGCTTTTATAATGCATATTTCTTTCTCTCTTCTGTTTTCACATCCAAAACTTCTAAATGCTATTTTAGGGGCACAGCAGATTAGATTCCAGCACTTGGTGAACAGAATTCACAAGCTGTGACAAAATTCTGTCATCTTCAGGGTGCAATTTTGTTTATATACACTGTTTGTATATATTTCTTTTAGATTTGGCTGTAGTGGACTGGCCATGGTTCAAGTGGGACTATAGCAGTACGTGGGTCAGGGACAGTCATTTTGGCTATGTACACATTCATAGTCGGTCCATGGCTTCCAACTAGTAGCGCTATTTCCGAAGGTCTAAAACACAAACCTGCAAGAAATTAAAATAATCAACCAGTGTGTTAAGAATTTCATCGTACACTTTTAGCTTAACGTTTCTATAGAGTATGGAATCTATTTCTTAGTTCCAAGTTCACAAAACTGGTAAAGCAATAGTCATCATGGCAACGGGCACTTAACCAACAGAAATCATACCAACTGTCAAAGTAGCTGGAGGAAACAGCCATGGGCTAATAGTACAGAGGAAGAACCATGGCTAAAAATATGAAAATTTGTTCTCTGTTAATTAAAAAGTAGAAAATATATGCTCAAAATAGACCACTTCCTTATCTCTGGGATCTTAAAAGATACTACAGTAAACAGCTAATGGCTACACCCTTTCCATCTTCCTTTTGCTTTCAGAACTTTGGAAGCCATACTAATATTTCTGTAAAGCGTTGGCCAACCTCATCCTGAAAGTCTCTCAGTATCACACATTCCTCACTGTAAGACTCAACTGCCTCTATTCCCCCTTCCCTGGGCCACCAACACTCTTCTGCAGGGAAAAGAAGGTAAAAATAGGCACTGAAAATTCAAATCTCTCCCAGAGTGGTATGCTGCTATACTTAATTTCACTAATGAAGGTTTATTTTAAAAATAACTGTCCCGTTTCTTAATTATGAAGACACTTTTCTGGTAAAGATAGCCTAAATTTTGTTTATATTATTTGAATGAGTATGAAAAGTATATAGCCTTTAGTAAACAAAAAATATCAATATCATGTCACAAAATTTATTTTGAAAGTAGCAGAAGCCACATTTATTCACCGTGTGCTCTCTCTCACACACGCACGTGCACGCACACACAGGCACGTACGCCCCCTCGGAAACACTGTATTATACTTACTGAACCATCTGATGCACTGGCTCCAACCTTGTCTCCTGCTGCATTCCAGCAAACTTCAAAAATTCCACCTGTTCCCCTATAGCTGTGAACTAGAGCACCTGTCTAAAAAAATGAAAACAGAATCTTAAAAATACCATATACTGTTATAAGTCCAAATATTGAGGTAAAAATATTATATGGCTTTATTTCTAGAAATAAGAGGTAGCGTTTAATTTCAACTCCAAAATAAATACAAGTTCTAAAATACTAAAATGTGATATCATGATCCTCTTATAAAAAGATAACACTAGTCTACTCTCAACAGATCCTTCACACACACACATTCAGTTTTAATACTGGAGAAATTTCTTTGGCAAACGCCCTCAAGAAGAAGTACAATAAACCAGTAAAGACAATTCAGTATAAGTGTGTTGGTTTCTCCATGTTTACTGAGTAGCAGTCTAAGCTATAGGAATTATAAAAAAGCTAAAGGAATATACATACATTATTCTTGAAAGGTGATATAAATTTTTTTTTTTAAGTACAATCAGGAACACTAACACTTTCATTATCAATTTAGCTGAATCATAAATATAATTAAATTATTTTATTCCTTCAGCAATGGAAACAAAACTCATTCAGCTGCCACTGAGTAATTAAAATTCAGTAAAAAATGTATTCTCCTAAGAAACCATTCATTCAACAGGAAAAAGGTTAAAGGTTCTGCTGTGAGAAATTGGAAAACAATGAAAAATGTGCTTCTGGTTTTCAGCTGAAAAGTGACCTGAAAAGTCAAACTAGAGGTAGCAGATCTATCTAAAAACAACGTGGCAGCAAGACACGTACCTTGTAAACACCCATCCAGACAACTAACCCTAAGTTAATCCCTGAGGTGGAAGACTGTTTTCCCTTGCTTTTCTCTTCAAAGTCAGTCCAGTAATACTGTACAAACCATAGATGCACTGCTATAGCTTATCACGTTGGGAAGGTTCTACTGAATTTTAAATTGTTTTTCCTCCCTAAAATTTCTAACAATTTAAGAGACTAATGAAAAAGTGTGAGTATAGGTCTTCAGGATCTATGATCAATTAGAAGAGAAGTACGAGAGAAAGGAGTGGCACCAACAACATCTAAAATCTGCTGATACATAGAAAGTAAAACCTACAGGACCGTCAACTTTGGGGTTTAAGAAAACAAAAACTTTCTTTCAAAAGTACTTACCAATTTTTAAGCTTGAATTAATCTATAATTGAACCAAAACAGCATAGTCAACAAGCCAGAGTTAGGACATTAACAAAGGCCAAGAGATCTATATGTATGTCCAGACCAGACGTCAACAAATGACCTGTCAAATGCTTAAGTAACATATCATCTGAGTGATGAAAGGAAAAACTAGATGTAAATATTACAAAAAAAAAAGACTTTCTCCTGCACCAAAAACTCACTAGATGCATTTTACTATTTTCAAACTTAAAAGAAAAAAAGTAAAATATTTTTGATACACAACAGTGATACAAAATAGTATGGATAGTTGCTCAAATGCCCTTAAAAACCTAGCAGCGTCTTCCATTAGAATGCTATGGTCCTATACCCAAATTTCATTTAAATTGATTCTCTCACAATGGAGTGACTGAAAATGTATACAACAGATTATCTATAGGCTATATTTAATAAGCTGTTGCTATTCAATCACGACAGAAAGATTAACATGAAAGGAAAGTCAAGGGTAATATAAACTATTAGAAGAGAGCACAGAAAGGTTAATAGATTCACTATGAATATGCCAAAATCCAAGCACAAGCAACATCTACTAAGTAAAAGGAATATGTTTTTATAAAGATGCTATTCATGGTCACAATAAAATCCATAAAGCACCTCAGAATTAGGAAAAAGGATCTTTATAAAAAAATTATAAAACTTTAATGAAAAAAAAGACTTAATTAGGGGGACTTATAAAGTTAGTTATTAAAACTTTGCTAATGATGCAGGTATATATACAAGTATATCAATGGAATGCAAGAGAATCTACGAATAAACCACACAAGAACTTGACATATGAAAGCAGTGGTATTATGAAACAATAAGGAGGCAATAAATAGTGCAAGACAACTGGTTATCCATGTAGAAAGATAAAATTAGATCTCTACCTCACACCACATATAAAAATCAATTCTAAGGGAGTTAGAAAAGTAAATGAAAAAATAAAACACTGAAAGTATAAAATGAAAGAATCATAATGCTTTTAGTCACACACATGAAGAAAAACTTAGGAAGAATGAAAGGGAAACTAATAAAAAGAGTTGCCTGTAGGGGATTAAGAAAGACATGGGAGCAAGAGTTTGTAGCATATACCTTTTATAGTGCTGTTGGGTTTCTTTTAGGACCATTCGAATGTATAACTTAATGAACGATAGTATTTGAAAATGATGATTTATGCAAAATAGCGTGACTAACTGTGATGGTGACCTACACAGAGAGCAACAGACCACAATAACTTATTATGTCCGTGCTGCAGCCAGCAAAGAACTTGATCATTGAAGAGGAGGAACAAGGGGAGTCAAGTGGCTGCTATTAAATTAACAGCACCTGGACCATTAAACTAAAATACTAAGAAGATAAAAAAACTAAAGCAACAGGCTGTTTTCTCCACTTTTAGGAAAGGCTCTCTACAGCACTGTCCCTAAGAAGGTAGTACAGTTTTAAGTTTATTCTGATAAATCATTGTGTTCAGCCATAAAATCTGGTCCTTTAGTACATTTTTAAAAATGTTCATATATAGTTCTTTCAAAGACAATTATTTTAGAAAATTATAACATTATATTATTTAATAAACGCATCCTAACTCTCACATTTTATGTCTACAAAACTGTTGGGAAAAAACAAAGAATCTAAAGTATTTCTAAATGCTGGTCTGTATTATGAAATATAACTTCAGCTGGTTTTAACCTTTGCTTAGCTGTAAATTAAAAAGAAAAAATACTAATTTAAAACCCGAGAACTGAATTAATGCCACAAAAGGAATGACAACCAAAGAGGAAAAGAAATATTTGTACAGGCTAATGCTTCTTACTAAATATAAGAGTATTTACTTGACTATTTAAATAACTCAGACATACCTGTGTGTTCCAGATGTGCACACATTTGTCAAAAGAACCACTTGCCAGATACCTGCCATCAGGACTGAAAGCTACACTGTACACAGGCTCTTGGTGTTTTGTCAAAGTATGGATGCAAATTCCTCGGTCTACATCCCATAATCTAACAGTAGAATCAAAGGATGCACTGACAAGGGAGGAAAAAATATGATTTTATAAGTAATAAAATACTCTCAGCCCCACCCACAACCTACAGCAGTCAGCCATTCCTAATAACTAGGCACAAATTCTTCATGAGGAGCGAACTGGGCTGCTAGGAAGTGTGTTATGGAAACAAATCTATACATGAGAAAAGGCAGCTTTAAGGACATCTCCAAGTCCCTGAATTGGAAGACATAAATGAGCTAATTCACTGTATTCCTTTCCTCTTTAAATAATTCCTTTATATTGATCCTTGGTTTTGAACTATTGACTATATTTTTAACTTATCTTTTTTTAAATGCTGAAGAAACTTTATTGCACTGTGCCGCATTACTTAGGTTTTAATCAATATTTGATATCACTAGAAATATGTGACATCTCCAAAGGGAAAAAAAAATCCATTATGACCTGAAATAATAAAACTGTTTAAAAGTTCCCATTAAAAAAATATTACTTGCAGGACACACTCCCATTTCCTGGAATCTTCCCTAATTTTCTGTCATACCTATTAGAAGGTTTATTTGTAGAAGACTCATTAAAGGAAGAGTAAAACAGAAATATTACCTTGCTAACATAAGGTTGGCATTTGGATTATTTGTCCCTGGCCCTGTTGGACTCCACTTGATAGTATAAATTTCTTTATTATGTGCTTGCAAATCATGGACACAATTGTCTTGTTTCATACTCCATATCTAAACAAAAAAGAAAAATGTATATAATTATTTTTCTATACAAAGGGTACATTTAAAATATTACCTTGCCAATTCAAAATATAAGGGGTACAACGAGAACAATGATTATAGAGATGAAGGGGATATTTGAAAAGAAATTAAGATGCAGTAGAATGTATTTATCTCTCTTTTTAAAATGACAAATTAGCCACAAGTTCTTTCCAAATATTCACTATTGTGAGGCTTCAGGACTGAATTAACTGTAGTTCTAAGATTACTTTTGGTATACAGGTGGTATCAACTTTAACATTCAGTAAGTTCCTTGGGTAATGTTTCTAAAATGTTTAAGGCATTAGTTTTTATGCTGACTCTTAAATAAAAGATCTACATTATAAATTGCTTTTAGAATTTAAAATCAGGAAATATTTTGCAAGAGAAAATAAATAAGCAACTTACAAATATGATTCATGTATGTCACCAAAGTATAGGCAACAAAAGCAAAAGAAAAGCAGAGTAGAACAATATAAAATTAAAAAGCTTCACAACAAAGGAAACAATCAATAAAATAAAATAAAATGGCAACCTACGGAATGGAAGAAGTTATTTGCAAATCATATATCCAATAGTTAATTCCTATAAATATATAAGGAATGCCAATAATTCAACAGCAAAAAACCTAATAGCCCAATTTAAAAATGAGCAAAGGACTTGGACATACGTTTTTCCCAAGAAGATATACAAATGACCAACAGGTATATGAAAAGATGCTCAATGTCACTAATAATTAGGAAAATGCAAATCAAAAACACAGTAAGATACCACTTCACACCTGTTAGGATGGCTATTAT